GGCGCTTTTGCCGCTGAGCTAAATCCCCATCCCTCCCCCCCCCCCCGCTACAGTCTTAAAACACAGATCAGACGTTCGGGCCCAGCACCTTGAGTACTCTAAGCTTGAGATTCCTGAAGGTAACACGGCCCAATCACGCCTTCCCCAGACTCCGATCCAAGTGATACAGGACCTCCAGATGACAAAAGGGAAACACTATAACTCCCCAAAATCAGTTTGTGTTCCCAAAAATCAAAGAATTAATGCTAAGGAACAACGAAGGTTAAGGGTAGGAAAACTTTGTTGGGAGAGACCTCTCCTGAGAGTCAAGAGGGGGCCCGAGTGGGTTGCCAGTGAGCCCACTTCTCAGAGGAAGTTGTACAGAGCAAAATCATGGGGTGAGTACAACATGGAACAAAATTATGATCGACTGGTAAGAGACAAGTGTAGCCGCTTTGGTAATATTGGTGTAATGGGGAAGCAAGTCACGAAGCAAGTGCACATGGAAAGAACAAGAACCTCTTTGGAGAGAGATGAGTCAGGAGGTCCTGGTCACCCACCTGGGTGACTGATGTTTGTCTAGACTTTACTGGATCAAGTGATACCGTTTATAGCGTATTGCTTATCCTTTGGGGAGGCGTGCCGGCCCGGTCATTCTGTCTTTATCTTGAGGCCTGGTCTCCAACCGATGTGCCTCCAGCCACTGACCTCCTCTAGGGCCTAGCCCTGTCTGACTGCCTATAATATTTCTACCTAACTTAGCCGTCTATAATACAAGCGCTGGGTATGCTCTGCACATGAGGTTGGGGAAGTGGTGTCTGAAGTTCAGACTGCCTCAGTTCTCAGGGGTCCGGGAGTATCCCCAGGCAAGCTGATGCCTTTCTCTACTGTTTCCTCATTTGCCCCCAAGGTAGACCAGAACACTTTCAGGTGTGACAGCCAGGCCGGGCCTTTGCCTGGGGGCTTCCAGAGGCAGGGCATTCTGGTCTGGACAGGCAGCTCTTTGCCGTATACAGTGGGGCTTCTATCATAGACTAATCTAAGTTCCCAGGTTTTTTGTTTCCTCTGCTTCCTGCACTTGATCTTAGCCAAAAGGCCGAGAAGCGATTCCTCTGCTTCCTGGCTTTGTGATCCTGGACAAATCTTTTCACTTCTTTGAACTTGAATTTCCTCACCTGCCAAATAATAGGGTGATTTTAAGAATGAGGAAAGTGATCGATGTTAATTCTTTGGCACATACTAATGTCTCTCTTCTTTAATGCAGAGCATAAAAGTCCCCAACATGTATAGCCTTGCATTGCTACGCCAATCCCTATCTCTGTAGCATCCCTGATAATGCCTGGCCCACTGCTGGGCAGTCTTGGTTTATTTAAACTGCTGATTTGCCACCTTGATGGAAAGTTATTTAAAAATGTTGATGCCTCTACCCCAGTCTAAGGTTTTTATGATTCAGTTGGTTTGGAGTGGAGCCCAGTTGTGAGTATTAGAGCTCCACCAGCTGGTTCCATTGTGCAGCTAATGGGCAAGGACCATCCTTAAAGAGATGAGGCCACCTAGTGCGGGTTCCTGGGTTTGCAGTCGTTCATTTCCCAACGGTCAGCTGTCGCTACTTCCCGCAGATGGCACTCCCCACGCTGCCCTCCTACTGGTGCAGCCGGAGGCTCCTGGATCAGCAGGCAGCACGGCAGCGACAGCGAGAGCAGGAGGCCCGGCTTCGGCAGCAGTGGGAGCAGAACAGCCATTACTTTCGGATGTCTGACATCTGCAGCTCCAAGCAGGCAGAGTGGAGCTCCAAGAACTCCTACCAGCGGAGGTAATTGTGCCATGCCGGCCAAGTGGGTGGAGGGGGAGGCCGCCTAATGATCAGGGGGTGTGGTTATGAGGGTCCAGTGAGTATGGCTGGACAGTATGTTGTCTCAAGGGGTTCACCAGATAGCATGGGACACCTGCGCAAAACCCAAGCCTGTCAGCGTCATGCACATAGGGTCATTCCTGGGTCATGTTTTCCCTGCTGGAAACTGGAAAAAAAGAACATTCGTGAAGTAATGCATTCACATCGAAAAATATAAGATGAACCCAGGCATGGGGGCACACACCTGTAATTCCAGCACTCTGAGAGGTTGAAGCAGGAGGATCACAAGCTTGAGGCTAACCTGGGCAATTTAGTGACTTAACCAGGCCCTGTCTCAAAATAAATAAATTTAAAAGGGGCTGGGGATGTGAAGCTCCTTGATTCAATCTCCAGTAACACATCATACACGTACATACATGCACACTCGGATGTGTGCAATGGTACAGAAGTTGATGTGATGGAGTGTGGTAGCCTTGTTACCGCACATCTCCAAAGAAAACCATAGTCTGGCACTTATCCTTCCAGAATTTTCTTCCGTACTTGTGTTTATGTTTAACTATACACAAGACTTTTTATAACAATACATGTAAAAACATGGAGGTGAGAAGCATAAGCTTTGGAGCCAGACTTAGACAGAAATCCTGGCTATTGGTTCTATCACCTTCTTCATGAAGGAGCCTCAGTTTCCTCATCAGTGATGTGAAGCTTAACTTCAGAGGTTAAGTAAGTAGTAACATAAAAACTACCATATATGGTACATGGCACATAGTAATTGCTCAAAAAATTAGTTACTACATGCATGTATAAGCTTACTCTTACGTATTCTCTTTGCGAAAATAAGATTTTCTACTATGTGTACTGTTCTGAGACCTGCTGTCTTCACTTTGGCAGGGGTGGGGAGGCACCTTCCTGTGTCACTGGTAGGATCGCCCCCGTCTCTTACCCATACAGCCAGGGAGGGTCAGTCACACCGCCTGTGGCGATGGCGTGGGTGACGGGTCCTGGGCTCCTTCTCCCCAGCATGCATGCGTACCAGCGGGAGAAGATGAAGGAGGAGAAGAGGAAGAGTCTGGAGGCCCGGCGCGAGAGACTCAGGCGGCTCATGCTGGAGGAGCAGGACCTGCTGCTCAGGGAGCTGGAGGAGCTGAGGCTGAGCATGAGCTTGAGGGAGAGAAGAATCCGGGAGCGGCATGGGAATCTGAAATCGGCCCGAGAGGAACAGAGGAAACTGGTAACTGTCAGAGGTGTAAGGAGACTGGGGAGCAGAAGCAGCGCCAACCTGTAGGGGCCATTTCCTGGGCACTCCGGTCTGACGAGACACCAGCTCACTCTGGAGCCAGCGGAGAAGCTTACACGTCCTGTGTCGGGAGTGTCACTTGTCGGAGTCAGCTGTCTTCCCTAAAGCATCACAGCCGATTCCTTTTTTCTGTTCCGGTTCTGTGGTCCCACAGAGGTCTGGCACAGGGTTATTTTCTCTTCCAAAGTGGTCGTGTGGAACAGTGAGCCCGGCTGGTGCTTTTTAGCTTGCTGTGTATTTGGGGACCCCGTCCCAGAAAGGACCCACCTGTAGCATCAGGTTTTGGTTCCTTTCGGCACAATTGCAAGAGTCATTGGTCAGCATCGTCCGGCCTTAGATGCCTTCCTGGCTTGTAGAGCTGTGGGTGCGAGGTAGGCAGGTTGGCCGAGCGGTGCAGGGGCGGCATGCTAGCAGAGGGGCTCTTGGCCTGAGCTCACTTCCGCTGTGGGTCACTCAGACTGTGGATGAATTTGAAACGCAACGATAGGCTTTCCTTTTTGTTTTCTTGGTAGATTGCTGAACGGCTTCTGTACCAGCACTGGAAACAGAACAACCCAAAGCTTCGAGAGGTGAAAATCAAGACTCTTCCACTGATTTTCCTGTGTAGATGAAATCCTGTTTCCAGGTTTTGGGTTCATTTGTTTGTTTTGGCACCAGGAATTGAACTCAGGACCTCGAGCTTGCCAGGCAGGCACTGTGCCACTGAGCTATACCCACCCCAGCCCGTTTGGGTTTTTTTTTTTTTTTAAAAAAAAACATGCATCTTGTGCTGGGTTGAAACATGAGGGAGCTTCCAGCCGCCTGAAAAGAGCAGCAGGCAGAAGACCTGGTGCAGACGAGGCTGAGCGGTTCATTCAGCTACTTAACAGATGCTAACTTTACACCTGTGCATGAAGCGTAGTCCTGGTTCTTAAGGAGCTCACCGTCCAGGCAGGGAGCCAGAGGGCAACTATTCCAGTGAAGACTGCAGGGTACTAGCAGGTGGTAATGGGATGGTGTCCCCAGCTCAGGTCCGGGAGGAATTTGAAAGAATGAACCTAACAGCATAGAGGTGAGGAAAGGACCTTCTAGACAGAGGTGACTGCAAGAGTCATGCCTGAGTCACGAGGACAGAGGTAGGGAGTGACAGGTGCCTGTGTGAGGGCATCACACCGGGAAGGGGAGCTCCACGAGCTAGGGCACGGTAGCCGGGCATGGTGGTGCACACCTGTAATGTCACCACTGGGGAGGCTGAGGCAGGAGGATCGCCATGAGTTCCAGGCCATCCGGGACTACATAGTGAGTTCAAGGCCAACCTGAGCTACATAGTAAGACCCTGTCAAAAAGAAATATAAAAGAGCTAAAGACTGTCGAGATGTTGGAGAAGGTGCTGTAGCAGCCCAGCTGGGGGATGGAGAAGGCCTGAACTGGGGTAGCCGAGGACAGGAAGACAGATCTGCAGGGGCAGGAAGAGAGGTGTCTTGCCTTGGTGGCATCATTCAGCAGAGATAGGCTGGAGGTAGTTAATCCCTACTGATATCATCCGTTTCAGCTTAACAGTTTTTGTACAAGTTCGGTACTATAACTTCATCTCTAGTTAGATGTAGAAACTGCTGGTTGCTGAGTAATGAAGCAGCTAGGTCAGGGATGGCGAACCTTTTATTTATTTATTTTTGTCTTTCTGAGACAGGGTCTCACTGTGCAGTTCAGGCTGGCCTTGAGCTCACCTTGTAGCCCAGGCTGGTCGAATCACAGCGATCCTCCTGCCTCAGCCTCCCAAGTGTTAGGATTACAGGCGTGCGCCACCACGCCTGGCTGTAGGCAAGAAATTTTAAATTTATAACATTTTCAAAAGAAAAGCTTTGGATTGACAGTTCCAATTCATTCTCTAATCCCAGAGGTACTTGAGAAAGTTATACCTCTCACCAGTAGTTATGGTGTAGTAACGCCAGGCTGGTTGCGACATCTGGCACAGGGAGTGCATGCAGGCCCAGCTGCCGCTTTGCAGGGGGAGTGTGGAGGAGCTGAGCTCAGGGCTGAGCTGTCCTGCACCGAGCTGTCTCCCAGAGTCCTGGCGTGTTAGACCAACCAGAGGTGGCCTTTTGAAATTGCATTTCCATTTCAGTGTCTACTGACACACTCCCTGCTGATCCCAGGGCCACTGGAACAAGAGTTTCTGTTACTTTGTTCCAGCCTGTGAGGGTCCAGTCCTTTGCTGTGTGGTGGACTTGTGGTCAGGTTATGTGTGTCAGGGTCACCCTGCGCTCTTATTGGACACCTGGGTCACTCAGTCCTCAGAAAGGGAGATCACAGACGTGGGTGGCACAGAGGGCAGGGCACTGTCCCCCGCAAGTGAGTGTGTCTCAGAGGAACCCAGGAGGAGATAATAGTCTTCCCTTTCTCATCCTCAGATTGAGACGGACCTTCACCGGAAACACGTGGTAAACTCTTGGGAAACACAGAAAGAAGAAAAAAAGCAGGTGTGATACGTGACCCTGGAAGTAGTCCCACACGTGGAGGTGTGAGACTGCCCTGTTTCTTTGAGTTTGTTTCCTGTCTTCAGTGTTTCTGATCCGGTTGAGGAGTGGGCTCTTCCTCAGCTAACTTGCCATGTGTTAAAAGTGAATGTTTGGGAGCTGTGCGTGTTGTCGCACGCCTGTAATCCCAGCACTCAGGAGGCTGAGGCAGGAGGATCGTTGTGAGTTCAAGACCAGCCTGGGCTACAAAGTGAGCTCAAGGCCAGCCTGAACTGCATAGCGAGACCTTGTCTCAAA